GTGCACTATCAGTAATTACAGATAGGGATAATTTAACTTGAAGATTGCTGAGAAATACAAAATACAACAAATCAGATCAAGATCTTAGGTTTCAATACATAAATTCGTAATTTTTTTTGATAGAAAAAGTATAGCGTTCATAATAGAGATGATACATAATGTGATATCGTTTTTCATAGCATTATTCCCGGTAGCAACAAATAACATTTGTACAACTTCTACTGCATAAATTTACCGAAATAGACATCACCATGTGACAGTTCCGAATTGGGTTGACCCAGTTCCGAACTGGGTCAAGTTCCGATTTGGGTCAGAACATATACATTGACAAATATATACCTATCTGATTAATGTACATTCATTTATCTTTTCCCACGCTTCTTGTAAAAGTATACGCTATTCGTCCCGCCTTCTTGCACTCGAAGCCAGATTTTTTCGTTATATATATAGGATAACTATATAATCTTTTTTCTAACATCATGGTTAATATCTTGCTGATCGATGTGTGATGGGTATCGTACATCCCTATCGCCGGAAAATTAAATCATATCGATATGCTTGTAATACACCCGAAATAGATTATGCAACGATTATCCACATGTCAAAAATAAACCATAATATATACACAAGCGATACATAAATATTGTCACAAATAAAATTTAATCGCATCAGCTGGTTCGCTTTTTATTCTTTTGACGCAATTCTATTTCCTTCTGCAAATTTAATGGAGTATCGAACCTTAACCGAATTGCTAGTACATCATCCTCAGGTCTATCTAAATCAAATACAATAAATTCACCTTTGCGCAGATAACTATTAATAACCATTGATGCATTTTTCACATCATCAGTATAACGACCGGCTATCTTTGACACATCTTGATAGCTACTGCCCCCATTAAATATAACTAAGTGGGTAAGATTTTCACAAATAATTACTGGGACATGATGATATTTTTGCGTTATATAGATTGGACTTATATGTCGATGTCGCCCATGTGTGAAAAATGGGATTATTCGATTTTGTATCGACTCTGGAGCGACACATAAATCCTCAAAAATAATTACAGTACTTCTCTCAGGTGAAAATGATTTTACACTAGGAATTTTTTCCGGTGATATGTATCTGAATCTAATATTCTCATAATAAGGTGCTTTAGGATTACTTGCAATTATTCCATACATGTATCTAACGAATGCCCATTTTGGCTCGTCAGGATGATAACCACAGACTATCAAATCATCACATTTAATATATCGGGATCCTCCCTTTTGTATTTTATATATATGTTCTGCTTTATCTCCGAGAACAAGGTTTGCCAGTAAATTGGTCTTACCTGTTCCACTCCTCCCAGTGACTAATTTACTGAAAGGCCATGTCATTGATGGATGTCCAACATTTCGTGATGATTCATGTTTATTAGCTTCATCTATATCCATAAGGAATAGTTTCATAGGAGGTATTTTTGTTTTTGAATTCTCTTGCATAATGAATTGGAATTTTATATCTTTGTTTTCTATCAAAGGGTGTTATATATTTTGAAAAAATATTTTCTTCAGATGTTTTCCATTAGGTTTAATAAACGTAATCCATATAGTAACGATAATTAACAAAGCAAGTAAAAGCAATGCAATCATTGGAATTGTTTCTACTGGAATTTTAGAGTGCGATTCAATCGGAGAAGGAGAATCAGCTGGAAGGAAAGGTCTCACATTTTTTAGCCGTGGTAGCTCTATTGCGGAGCAGGCCGTATTGTGGAACAATGGCACTTGCGTGCCTAGGCGATTCAAATAATCATGACTCTTCGAGCCTTGAGATCGGGATATAATGTCCTCACTAATTTCGTTAATGTTAGTTCCCTCACTTACCTTAGAACTAATCTCGGTATCGTTTTTTTCAGCTTGATCCATACTTTTTCCGGATACAAAATATCGTCTGAGACTTTTGCTGGGTGAGGCATAGCCTCGAATCTCTGATTCCTCATTAGACACGTAAGTGTCATGATTCAGAGAAGAGACAGAGTCTCGAATTTCCAATTCATCGCCCAATGGCCTGCTTTGCAATACTGCAGATATATCAGATGCGATAGCATCCTCACTCCGTGAGTCAGACTCGGTCATATTTTTTTCGTCGTTTCCACCAAGTACGGGGTTTGATATATCCTCCGATTTCAGACGCTCAAGATCACTAACCGTTGAAACTAACTCCCGTTTCACTTCAGCTATTTTGGATTTAAGGGATAGATTCTCAGATTCCGTTTTCGATAAGTTTTCCTGAATTGAGAATGCATCCTTCTGAGCTGACGCTAACTTACTATTTAATATTTTGTTCATTGACTGGAGTGATTTTATTTTTTTCAATCGAATAATATCCTTGGCTCCATATTTAGTATTGGAAATCTGTAATTGGTTAATTTGAGATGTTAAAGTGTCTGACTCTGAGCTCAATCGCTTAACCTCATTTATAAGCTGGTAGGTATGCTTGGAGAGTTTTTCTTTATCATTATTAGATTGTTTTAGATCACGTTGTATACGCTTATTGTCTTTATCTAAGACAGAACATTTATTGGCAAGTCGATTGCCACATTCTATAGCAATTTCTCGATCTCGGTTTGCACAAGCAAGCTGGTTTTCAAGTTCCGTTCGACTAGGCGGATATCGATTTGATGGTATGTCTCCAAGTTTTTTGCACTCACCTATATCTGATAATGTATGGATTCTAGGCATATTATCCAATTCTTATAGATATCTAAAAAAATTAATATATTGTATTTTGAATGTAATATATTATATAGATAGAATATATGTATTAGATGGAATATACATATCAGTTATGATGTATTAAATCGAATATACATATATGTTATATAGAAAAATGAATAATATTATTCTGTATATTCTATCTTTCCAATATATTTTAATATTTCGATATATTATATATTTTTTGTTAGATATAAACATCTTATATTTACATTTACTGCTATGCCTAGAGTACGTATACGATCTGATGCACCCCTATTTTCTCGGGAAGATTATTCTTATATTATGCAATGTCGTGATATAAAACCAAGATATAAA